CCCGTGGCTCATTCGCTCTCCTCGGCCCAAGCCTCTCATTTGACCCCGGAGTTCCATCTGGTTCAGTTATGAATCTCCGGAGGGCGCTTTTCCACCTCCACTCTTGCGCCAAATGCGTCTCCAAGATCTGCTCAGTGCTCCGTCCACCTTGGGCTCCGCGTGCGGCCTCGTAGAACGACTCCGCGACTCGGCACGAAGGGCATCGACAGCGCTCAGGGGGAAATTACGCCGACGCGGGTCTGTGTTGGGTACTCCGGGGATTTCTGCGTCCCTAGGGACAGTTCTCCCGTTGCGTGCGCGTATGTTGAAGAGGTAAGTGAATAGGTTTCCAGATCCAAGTGGTATGCCAGACATCCAGAGATCTGTTGCTTATGGGGATAAAGTGGCGTAGGTCCAACAGAGCTTAGGGGCGGCGTTAGGGGTGGAGGGCTCTGCAATACCTTCCAGGCTTTCGCAGGGCTCTTATACCGCCGCTGTCTACCAGCATCCATTTTGTAGGCGTTCTACTTCCCAATTGTGGAACCGGAGCAATGTCATATGCCCATCCTTCCAGCGCCCTCGAAGCTATACACTGTATTGGCCTCGTGTAACTCGACGTTCCGGCGTTTCATTCCACCCACAGGACACGACTTCCGGCCGGTCGACTGCGAGGGGCGATCGGACGCCGACCCGTACCGCAACTGACTCGATTTCCTTGAAAGCAGTCGTCGCTCGATCACGTAGTAGAACATATATGCTTGAGGCGTCGTCGATGGTAGACTCCGAGGGCGGCGTACATATGTAACATGTACCAAGTGTCCCATCGTATAATATAGCTCAAAACAAACCACTACATGCACCACTAAGATGCACCAAGAACGTTGGCCGTGGCGACCTACAAATCCACCAACCCGCTCAAGCAACCACCGCAAACGCCGCTACCGCCACGCCGAGCGCCAACACAGCCTGGCCCCAACCCGCGCGCACCGCGAAGCCGCCGTTGTTGTTTCCGCTCCCGCCGTTCCCGGACCCGTTGTTCGTGGCAGTGCTCTCCGTTGGGGCAGCGGGCGCGCTCGAAGGCGTCGAGGTATGCGTAACCGTAATGAAATTCGTGGAGCTTTGCGCGTTTGTGGTCTCTGCCCCAGAGCCGGACGTCGACTCCGACGCAGACGCCGAGGAAGACGTGCTAGACGATGACGAGCTCGAGGCGCTCGCACTCGCGCTAGAGCTCGAGCTACTCGATCCACTAGCACTGGTGCTCAGAGCACTAGAGCTCGTCGCGCTGCCTCCCGCGGGAGGCGCGATGCCTAGGTAGCTCGGCGCGGAGACTGCTTTGGACGGGTCCACGAGCTTGCCCGTGCCCCACGAGATCTTCTGTCCGCCGGGCTGCGTATCGTTCGTGGGCGGGACGGTGTTGCCCTGCGCATCCGCGATCGTGAAGCGCGTCGTCCAGAACCTGTCCGTAGGCGCCGCGGGCGACGTGAACTGATAAAAGTAGATCGCCGAGTTCGGAGTGACCTAAGCACGCGCGCAAGAGAGGTTAGCGACTCGAACGGCGCGGGAGAAGGAACCTATGGGGTTGGGGGACGAAAAGAGTGAGGCGCGAGCTCACCTCGGGGCACGGGTAGCTGAAAGTACCCTTTGACGCGTCCGTACCGTCAAAGGACGCAACGGCTAAAAAAGAAAGCGTACGCGCGCGTGGGGGTCACGTCGTCAGTGAAATGCTAGTGGACGCGCGCCGGGGCGGGCGACTCACTCGTGATGAAGACCATGTTGAAGTTGTCACCGGTCATGAGCTCGACGTCGGTCTGCTTCCAGACGCCGGACGGGTCGGGCGTCCACGAGAACGTGCATGTCCCGCCTTGCTTGAAGACGTCGTTCGGGCCAGGGGCGGTGGGCGTCACCCCGCCCGGCGCGGCAGCCGCTGCCGCGGCGACGTGGGCGAGGCCTTGCCCGGCGAATGCGTTGCTGAAGAAGGCGTGGAGGCCGTACATGGGGTATTAGAGGTGGGAGGCTCTGCGATACGGAGGGTGAGGGGGCCGGAAGTGAGCCTTGGCACACGACGGGTCTCAGGGAGGAATGTTCGGATGGGACACGCACAATATTAGGCTTTTGTCGTGAGTGGTATACCGAAATCGGGATCTAAGACCTTGACAGACCGCGCGAGTCGCAGCGTCGAATGACCCGAAGAGAGCGAGAGGCGCGAAGGACCAAAGACCTAAGAAATAAGACAAGTAAGGCCGGCAGAGGGTCTGCGCGAACAGCGATGGGGGGAAGAACGAGAACTGGGTGAAATGGGAGTCGTCCGCGCGATAGACCGCAGGCCTATGTATACCCTCCCCACAGGCGAGCTGCACGACGGGCGACGGGTCACGGCGCCCATCTTGGGAGCCGTACTGCCCCATCGCGGCCGGCGCGCGTGGGAAGGCAGAGGATCACAGCACGAGCACTGTTGCTACTTGACTTCTAGTTGATCGCGCGGGCGCGCAGATCCCGCACGAACATTGCTTTCCAGGGAGGCGTCAAATACGCGCGGGACACTTACACGGTGGTACATGGTGGTGGACTGGGAAATATTAGGGGCTGGCGGCCTCAAGCTCAAGAACGCGCACAGCATGGCGAACGGGCGCCTATGTACCTCTCCTCGTCTCAACCTCGTGGCTGCGGGTGCAGATGGGCAGCCGTACATGCTGCCTTCGGGGACACTCATAGCGCCGAGACGTATGTCCAGGAGCTTAGGATACGTTGACATGTGTGCCAGTGGGCGGCCTCGTGGTAATGCCGCGGTACCACCGGAGGGCAGCACGGTGACTGGTATGCCCGCATCTATGACATGGGAAGGGCAGAGCTTGTTTGTTGGCGTGCGGACTTTCGACGAGCGGTATGCTACATATAGGCAGCGAGCTCATCTAATTCGCTCTGAGACTCGCGATATTTCTCTTTCGCATCCTGCGTAGGAGAAGGTTGGAGGGGAGAGTCAGCACAAAATAGGTGAGGACGAGTCGAGAAGGGCGCATGCATGGTTGGACTTGGGGAGCGTTGTGCTTTGATCGAACGTATGCCGCTGCGTAGATGACACACCTGGTACTTCTTCTCCCACTCTTCGATTTCTTGTTCAAGTTGGGAAGCCTTCTGCTCGGACTCATCTGCTATCTTCTCCGTTTTCGTCAATCTGAATGCACACACCATGTTAGCGGACCATCGTCCCAGACCGGAGCTACTACCCTCCTACTTGTCCTCGACTTCACGGAGCTTTGTGCGCGTCACATACAGGCTTTGCGAGAGCTGTAGCGTCTGTCTCAGGGCCGACAGCTGTTCTTGCAGAGCAGCACACTTCTCTTCCTTCTGCTGCAGCGCCGCCTCGTACTCGCTGACCTTCGCCTCCGCTGCGTTTGCGCGCGCTCGCGCTCCTTCGAGGCGGGCGCGGAACTGTTTCGCATCAAAGCGCACCTGTTGTACGCCCGAATGCAATCAGTGACTAGCTTAAGTTTCAAGTCTATCATATGTGCTTACGTCCATATGGGATGGCTCACGTCGATGTGGGGATCTCGTCAGCGGATTATTTGGACAATGCCATTGGGGGTGCAAGACCGCCGTCTCGAACCATCATGCAAGCGCGAGGCTGCTGAGTGCATCCGAGCGCTGCTGGAAATCTCCGAGAGTGCGATACTTGATCGATCGTACTCGAGTGGAGAGCGCGCACGCGTTACAGTGGCTAGCCCGGCGTCGACCACAAAAAGTAGCCTATGAGCACCCACCGGTCCCGACCCTACCAGCCAGTGCTTAAAATATAGAAGGTACGATGTCGTGCACAAAGGGACGGGAGCGCAAACCACCCGGTAATGTTACACTGAGTATGACATGGGTTCACACCATAACACACCATCACATCGTACAAAGATAGGACGTACGGGGTAAGTACTAGCAGTCCTCCATTCGATGTATCTAGAGATGTCGATGAACGTGAATACGAAGACATCAAGAGAGGGAGCACCGATACTCACCTCTGCCGAAAGCCTCGTCCACTCAGTGAGGGAGCGTAGGTACTCATCCCGTCCTTCATCCACTGGTATATCGGGGTTCCACAACACAAACGAGGAAAATTGCGCCGCGGGGTTGAGTATACGCACAGGTCTCTCTACCTGTGCCTGATCTACTCCCGCACTCTCCAACTCTTCCGTGTCCTCCATAGCGTCCTGCGCACGTTTCGACCGCCGCGTACTCCTTCCGCCCGCCTTCGAGTTCTGCTCTTCAGCTGTCCTTGAGCGCGGCGCGGCGCTCTTTCCTTTGCGGTCTTCGGGCGCGCGTAGAACGACACCGGCATACCCTTCGGGAAGATCGACTTTCAGCCCGTGCATCAACCGGCCTCGGAAAGCCGCAGTGAAATGGCGAGAGTCAGGTTGAGAGGATGACTGGGGAGCGTCTCGCATGTCTAGGTCTTCCAGGGTCGCGGACGAGCCGGACGCAGTGGCGGAAGGATTGGGCAGGGAGGCCGACTGCGAATTCTCTACCAGAGTGGATTGGGAATCTTCCACGGCAGTCTGTGACTCAGATACGGTGTCATTCGACGCGGATGGCTTGATTTCGCGTCCGAATGTAGGCTCTGGCGCATTACGGACGCAGAAGTAGGTTGAAACGGGTGCAGGTCCAGAATATCCGATGTGAAATGGCATGAGCTGCGGGGTGGCGACAGGAAGGGGGTCCTTAGCAGAAGCAATCAGGAGAGCGGGCGGTGCAGCGGCCATTAGGATTGGGGCTGTTGCAGGACGCGACTTGGAGGACTCGAAGGTTAGCACGGGCGCAAAGACCTCGAGCTCGGAGCGACAGCCACAACGCGTCGAGACGCGAGACGCCCGGCCCTAAACCGAGAATTTAACCGGCTGGCGTTTAATCGTTAATTTATTGACCGATTTGCTTATGTCTCAGACGTCTTCCCAATCGATAATCTGCCGCTTATGACCATCTGTTCACGGTCGAAGGGTGAGGATTATTCGCCCTTCTCAGACCGAAGCAAAACATCCTGACGACAGTGGGATTCGAACCCACGCCCGTGAAGACTAGATAGAACCTTGGGTCCTGATTCTAGCGCCTTAGACCGCTCGGCCATATCGCCATGATAGCTTAGCGACTGGAAGTACCTGCAACCGCGGTGGATCGGAACTTGAGCGAACCAACTCACTCTTCCATAAACCGCTTGTGCCCGCAACCATATCGTACTGGCACTGAAAGCGCCCGAGCCGCGCTGGCCGTATTGCTTCTGACGGTCAAGTCCTTGAAATACTTGTCAAAGCCATAGGACAGCTAGAGCACTATTGGTGAGCCCGATTACGTGCGCAATAGTTCAGGGTACTGCGTGCTAACTATTGGCGATTCAAACGAAGTGCGATACTGCAGTAGCTAACTTATCTACGTCATGGCCCTGTATGACCTCCCTGTGGACATCCTTCTCGACATTTTCGGGCTCTTGAGCGTGTGTGACATTATACACGTTCGGCAGGCAAGTATCAAATTCCCATTTGATTCCGAAGTCGTCGGGTCTCACCGTTCGCCGCTCATAGACATGCAAAAGTCTTGAAGCGGTCACTCGTCAACGCACTGTATGGCATGAGGCTCTATCAAGACATGCCGCGCGGAGCTGTCTCCCCATACCCATGCTGGTAGAACACAACGCTTCTGACTCCTCGGCAACACAGTTGGAGCGTCAAACTATACGTGCGATACGCTTCTGGCGTAACTGGCTGTCCCATCGTCCGGCAGCGTATCGGCACACGGCCATACGGCCGGCTAGACCCGCTGCCCGCAATCGCACCCTACGAAACCTTGGCGTCATGTTTCTCCCCCACGTTCCTGACCATGTTTTAACGTTGACGCTGTATGATGATACCGTGCAGGACCGCCGCTTCTCCTTCGAGTTATGGGACTTCCGGCCCGCCCAGTATGGCGCCGAGCCGAGATGCGTGGACATTCTGCAGATTGAAGCTCTGCTCGCATATGCTATGAATGTGGTATCCGGCAGCACAGTTGCGTTAGCAATCACACGTCGAGATCCTATTACCCAGCAGTCAGTCGGTTTAGCTCGTATGGTTTTTAATACGTTGGATCTGAACGTTCGAATTTTAGATGCATCACTGAGGCATACGGCATCGACTCCTTGCATTCTGACTGCAATCCGCATTTCAAACTATTGACGGGATTTCCTGGTTACCGGAATACCATTGGACTACATGGAGCATATCTGGTAGCGACTGACGCCGAACAAGACGTTCGCATCATCAACGTAGAAGAAGGTCGCCTAGAATATACCCTTAAAGCGCCGTTAATGTTGAACGATCCTACTCTACGATTTGCGGTACGTCGCGCCTGTGGAGACATACGTCTAGATTCTGAACTGTATCGGTACAGGAACGACAATGTATGGATGCTGTCGTGCTAGACAATTTCGTCATCAGCTTCTGCAAGCAGTACATATTCCTCTACCATGTTCCACCTACAGCAACATCGCACACCAGCCAAGAACCTGCAGATATCGTGCAGGAAGCATCCAACATCGATGCGATAGCAACTTACAAATGGCGCTGGCGTATCGACAGCCTCATTGCAAGGCCCCGCCGTGCTCCTCCAACTCTCAACCTGCACAGGAAACGCACCCACAACACCACTTCAGCCCCACCCCTTATCGACATCCTCATTCGATTTGACACCTGGTTCCCCTGGCCCGTCAACATCCTGCATCACTTCGCGCTCGCGCCGAACCCCGCCTACACTCCCGCCGCATTCACCCCCTCAGACCTGTCCACATACCCTTACCTCCTCTCGGACACGGACGGTCCGTTCATGGTGCACTCCATTCCCTCGCCCCTACGCATATTCACCCCCTCGGACATGGCACTCGGCACGTACGGCACCGCAGTCTGGCTCGACGCCGCGGCGGACGCGACGACGCCGGCGCAGGCGGGGGACCGCGGGCAGCGCGTCGCGGGGCGCGTGCTGACGCGCACGCCTGTCCCGCTCCCCGCTGCGCGCACGCGCCCAGGCGAGGGTCCGCAAGACGACCATGTGAGTCCGGGATTGGGGGACCCGGCTGCGCTGAACGCGGGTGCGACGGCGGAGACGGTGGAGCTTGCGACGGGCGCGATCCCTGCGGGCCGCGGGAGCACTGTTGTGTCCGTGTTTGACGTGCAAGAGACGGAAGAGAGGTGGAACAGGGTTGCCGTGGACGAGGAGAGTGGGAGGGTCGCTGTGGGGCATGTGGATGGGACGGTGTCGATATATACCTATGTGCCCGCTTGGTAGTCAGATTGGTTTGTGCCGGAACGGATGGCACACTATTAACCAATTGTGATGTTGGATTGATATTTCGTCTACACATTTTAAGTAAAATGAAGGCTCGCGGGTGTATGACCACTGGTTGTTTGAATTGACGAGGTCGAAGGCGGAAAGAAAAAATAAATATTGAGACCCGTACTAGGTCTACCACTCCGGGAAAGCGTGTCATCCTTGTGCAGGGGCCATGCTAATCTTCTCTGTATCGTTCCAATTTTTTCGTATGTCACCCCGAAGGGGACATTAATCGGGGAGATACGAACGGGCGTGTGGGCATGTATTCGAGTAATGCTAAGATGACGGGTGTCCGCGGCAAATATGGGCGTTACTAAACGCAGTTCACTGGTATGGGTCTGCAGGTTTAAACGGTAGCCTTTACACGGATCACTCTTCTCCAGACCACGTACCCAGATTCTCGTTCCTTCGGTATTTCAATGGAAGGGCGCAATAGAGATAGAGAGATAAGGCCGAGTGAATTTTAGTAGAAGAAATTTTCCCGGGCGTCCGACGAGTCGACCTCAGCGAGTGGCCTTGGCCCGGCGGTTTGATTTTTAAATAGGCTCTCAAACCTCTACTGATACAGTTTCAGTCAAGACGGCAGTAATGCAATGTGATTAAGTTGAAGCGAAGTAAATAGGGGGAAAAGTAGTACCGAAATGTACTAAGAGCACTCTGTTCGAGTTGGAAAACGGTCAAGAATACCACGGCAATAGCCCGTCAGTCGTCGCTTTTATCTTCGTCGTTCACGAGAAATGCATGTAGCGTGCGTTCCGGATAATCCCATGGTGCCTTTCAAAGAGCAAGATAAGCAAGCTGTGAGGCGGACACGATGAAATGCACGGCTCACGAAGTGGTTCGCCCCCCGAATGCATAGCGTGGTGGTGCTCCGAATCTGCCTCCCATCACGCTTCGCGTTGGCGATCTCCAGGCGTAGTGCGTGAGCGCCATAGGGAACTTCCCATATCGAATGGTCGCCCCAGACGTAGCGGACCTCCACGCGTCTCCATTCATCTCCAATCACAGCTGTCCCGTCCGGCTTCCGCCCGTCCTCGGAAAGGGAGAGAGCGCCTTTGCGCAGAGTTTCGCAGATGCCGAGGGAAACGCAGCCGTGTAAGAGCGCCCAGTCCGAGCCGCCCGGGGCGCCAGGGGGGATATGCACCGTCGCTGCGAAGTCACTGCCCGTCATAGTGGAAAGAGTCGTCCTGATCGCTGACCGTCGCTCCAGCTTGTCTGGAATGTCATCATGCGCGAAGTAGCTCGTGACCCAGTTCGTGAAGACGCTCCCGCGTTCCTCGTACGTCAAAGACGTATCGAAAAATGGATTGTATGGGTCATCCTCGGGTAAACGATATCCCAGCAAGCATGCTGGCGGGTCTGAGGGCACAACGGTAGCGTTAGATCCGGACAGAATGTGATCAGCTTGAAGGCTTGATGCGCACCTGACAAGATGACCTTCTTGATGTAGTCGCTGAGATTAACGCGGCCTAGAGGGAAGTCGGCTACATGGTTCAGTAGTGCGGTCATCCAGATCGCACCGAGCGACCACCCCACTAACACAATCCCGCCGGTCTCACTCGGAGAGCTTGAGGTAGACGGGATTTTGCACTTTTCAACCAAGTCTTGCAGCGAGTTGTACAGCTCGTGGGCACGTTGACGCATGAACGTTTTGAGGCTCTCTGCTGCTGAACGTATCTCGCCTACGTTTGAACGAGGGCAGTCGGGGACTGGCGGAAGGAGCGCGCGTTCATCAGGTGTGTATGGGACGGCGCCTGGATATTCCCGTCGATTCAGCAAAATGATGCGGACGCTCTTGGGGGATGCTAACGGCATCAACTTGCAGAAAACGCCTGGATCATCCATATAAGAACGCACTCTTCATTAAAAACCGATAATGAAGCCTGTAGATCACTCACCGCTGTGCCAGACATAGCCGTGAATGACGACGAGAGTGGTGTAGTTATCGAGACCTTCGGGGACTCCCGAATCCTTGGAGATCGAAAGGCCACCGGCGAGCTGCATTCTTTTCGTATTCGCGTAGCCAAGTTCCGAGGGAGACTGTCTGGAGGGTTCAGTCGAGTCACACTAAGGAGTCGACTTGACTAGGATGGTCCTTGTCCATTTTATAGCGGGCCGTTTCAGAGTACGGTCCAAGCCATGGGACTGTGCGGCGCCTGACGTACAAACGTCTCATCATTGATGAACCTAAACTTTGTCCCCAACACGGAACTATACGATGCTCACGGCGCGCAAGAGTAGTGGGGCCTGATGGGATGACGCCACGTATATGGGTGTAGCTTCCTAAGATCCGTGAGCCGTGGGCGGTAAACACAACCCTTCATTAGATATACCGCAGCCACCTCGTCTTGAACCCACGCCACCTGCAACGATGCCATATGTGAGTTACTGCGGGGTATGCAGGATTTGACAGAAGAAATGGCACCCAAGGGCCAAACTCGAACCTTGTCCTGATGCCACGTTGGGTCTTCAGGCGCACTAAGTCATTTGGCCCAGGATGGGCTGATGCCTAAGGTATCTGTCCGACAATAGCGACACAGAAAATGGCGCCGCTTCGTCCGTCTAAACAAGGAACGAACAGCGAGCGACCTCGTGTCACCCAATCGGAGCGGTGAGTCGAGAACCTTTCGTAGCGCTGAAGAACATGATCACTTGGGTGGGATAGGCAAGTGCGCCAACGCGAAGGGAAGCTTGAGGACTGGCATTACGCGCTGGTCGAGGGGGTACTAATCGCCTGTCACCGGTTTGAATGCTTGATTCAGGTACGTTCTCCAA